AAATTTCTCACCTTTGTCTGCTGCTTCTTCAATAGTATATGAAAGATAACAATTTCTGAGATTAGCAATGCAACGCCAATTAAAAGTCCACATCCAAGTAATGAGAACATACCACCAACTTCTTCAAAATCATATCCTTCATCAAGAGACAATGCTTCACAGCGACTTATATTAATTAACAACCATTTAATTAGGCAATACTATGCCCATGTTTTTTCATTTACTTAAGTGTGCTATGAAGATTTTTTTCAGTTCAAGAATCGATTGCCTAGTAATCTTATATCCTCTGAAATAATCCCCCAAAACCCGACATCAACTTTTCTTAATCGGGCAGTGTTCTGTGTGAGTATTACTAAATAATCTAGTGTAAAATAAATTTACTGTTTAGTCTCTCCCAACTTGTTATGGTTCATCAACGGATAATGGTCTGCTATAAAGAATATCATCAAATAGATAACATTGAGATGTTTTTGCAGTTCAATTGTTGTTTACATTTCTAAATATCATCAAATAGTATCAGCGTTTTTATTGTTTATCTTGCCCTATTTCCCATGTTAATGACTTATTGACAGTTTATTTATGAAATTACTCATATGCAGCATTTTATCTACTTATAAACTCGTATTTGTTTGGCAAACCGAATTTCGTTTGAGAAAACAATGATTGGAGTTTAAAAAGAATTTATTCGAGATGTTATTCCTACCTATCGTTTCCTGGCTAGCCAGTCCGAGTTCCCTTGATTGACCTCCCAAACCAACTCTTTTACAGGTGTAAAGTAGACTTCGCTTCAGTTTTCGTGTTAGATACTTATCATATGATGTGCCTAAGATTAGCATATGGTTCATTAGTGTGCTTCCTCAATGGTCAAATGGAAAGCTAAGTTTAACTGTTTCAGTTCAGGTTAACACATTTGTACTATGACTTTAACGAAATTTCATAAGTGATTTTTCAATACCACTCGGATTACAACATTATACAAATACAAGTGATCGGTAATAACAATAATGTATTTAATAAATGAAATAATGAGCAAAAACTGAATAATATGCTTATATTCTTGATTAAGACCTATATGAATAAAAGTTAATCTGGAAGATAGTTTACCTATTAGACTTGTTACTTCCATCACCGACTGATGATAAAAATATCAACTCTCTAAATAAAATATCTCCCTCAATGACTGAAACCATGTTCCTTTAAAATGAAGAAGATTGTCAATATTATCCGGAACTCATACGACGGACTACAGTGCAAAGTAGTGCATGGAGCACAGCTGACAGATGCATTCCAAGTAAGGGCCGGACTAAGACAAAGCTGTCTACTCTCCCCCTTCTTTTCCTTCTGGTGGTCGACTGGATTATGAAGACCTCGACATGTGAGGGGAAATACGGCATACAATGGACAGCTCAGAACCAATTAGACGATTTAGACTTCGCAGATGACCTAGCCCTCCTATCCAATACACACGAACAAATGCAGATAAAGACAACCAGTGTAGCAGCAGTCTCTGTATCAATAGGCCTCAACACACACAAAGGGAAAACCAAGGTCCTCAAATACAACACGAAGAACAGTAAAACAATCACACGTGATGGCGAAACTCTGGAAGATGTAGAATCCTTCACATACCCGGGAAGCATCATCGATGAACAAGGAGGTTCAGATGCAGACGTAAAAGCGAGGATTGGCAAAGCAACATATGCATTCCTTCAATTAAAAACATATGGTACTCAAAACAACTTTCAACCAACATCAAAGTCAGAATCCTCAATACGAACGTCAAGGCAGTTCTACTGTACGGAGCTGAAACGTGGAGAACTACAACAACCACCATCAAGAAGGTACAAGTATTTATTAATAGCTGTCTACGTAAGATACTCAACATCGATTGGCCGAATACCATGAGCAACAGCCTTTCGTGGGAGAGAACCAACCAGCTTCCAGATGAAGAGGAAATTAGGAAAAGACGATGGAAATGGATAGAACAGACATTAGGAAAATCATCAAACTGCATCACGAGACAAGCCATGACTTGGAATCCTGAAGGGAAGCGGAAAAGAGGAAGGTCAAAGAACACATTACGTCGGGAAATAGAAGCGGATATGGAAAGGATGAATAAGAACTGGAAACAGCTGGACAGGATTGCCCAGGACATGGTTGGATGGAGAATGCTGGTGAGCGGCCTATGCTCTTTCGCGAGGAGTAACAGGCGTAAGTAAGTAAAAGCAAGTAAAATAAAACATGTCAAATTATTCATTAACAGTAATTGCATAACATATCTTCAAGATATTGATCATTGATTGGATGTGTCTGAATTACTTGTTTACGAATATATAGGATAATTAAACAGTAATATTTCTGAATCCGGTTAGTTCATCACAATTCACTCTATTTTTCTCCTACTTTTCAGTATACAGTTCGAAGCAACTCATCAGAATTGAAGTTCTTTGAGAAGTTGAAAAGTGCTGAAGAATCAATTTTTGAAATGTGGAAACAAAAAGTTGTTTATAACAGTGAGCTCTTTTGAATTTCTAGCCCAACATTGTTAACGTGCAATTTCGGAAATCTGAAGAGTTAGAAGTTATAAATTGAATCTATAGTGACTGGTGTTGATCGAACCTCTAAGTTTGCAAGTTTATCTAACCAACAGTTACAGGTTCAGTGTTACCTTACCTCAACCGTAAAAATGAAATGAAAATCAAATCTCAACTTCATCCCCATTACGTAGTATTCTTTATTACTATTGTTTGAAATCAAAAGACCTAAATTCCGTGATATATATTTATACATATATTCTTGAAAATGCTGGTTATAAATGTACATTGGTTGACTTGCGAATAAAAATTTTATAATACTGTAGTAAACAAGAACACAAGTGGGTACAATCGAATATATTTGAACACAGAATTACCGAACATCTTAGTAGAATCCTAGAACTGTACAGCAAATACTTCATTTGCAAAATGTCAATTAATCGTTTCAGACTTCATTGTTTCTTCCTTTCCACACCAATCATTCTCTGTCCTCATTCTCTTTTCTCTAATCTTCTCAACCTTCTACTGCCAGGCATTTCACTTTCGATCGATGATACGTACTACTTATATCTGTCGACATCAATAGCACACACCACAATACTTTTTACCCCGAGTATACTGTTTCGGCTATTGCTCGAGTCTTATTCTTCAACTGACAGGGTTAACTTTGAGTTAAAGCAGAGAATATTTGTAATTCCTTTTATTCCGGAATTTATGGCCATCTTCTAACCCAGTCCTCAATCTGATTATAGAACACAGCAAGTAGTGGTACAACAGTATATCTTACAAGAATTAACTCATACTACAAAATAGATTGATTTCCTGACCGCACATGAAAATGAACATAAAATATGCCTGAAGTGGAAAATAACAGATGAAAGGCATAGTAAAACATATGGCAATGATTATTGGTCTACTGGAAGTGTGAAGTAAGGAGAATCTAGTAATGCAATACTAGAATTATCTGATAGTTATACAATAAAAAGATAGATGATAATAACCTGTAATTTGATCCCGAAAGTTACACTTCCTTTGATATTTAATCCACATCAATGTTCTGTTATTATAGTATTAGTATTACACTAGACTGGGTTCCCACTACTTTTAGTCACTCCTCAATAATTGGCTGATAACAGGTCATCGAATATTGGTTTATTATATTCCATCAGTCAACAAACAATATTAGAACTGTAAAACTCAAGGCTTTGTCCGATTCCATCATGTTTTCTTACAACTTACAAGATTATAATATAACTGCGTTATATATTTTTGGACGTTTATCTCAGCGGGAGACTACCTACCTTTCTAATATAGACTCAATTTGTGAGACTCAGTATAGAATCTGATGTTATGAGCAAGCGAGTGAGTGACCTACCAAGTTGATGACGTTTAATCATTTATGACATCTAATCATCATTGTAAGGTGTTAATATTTTGCTTATAATCATATTATTTCACTACACATAGAACGTATTCTTCTGGCTAGTGATCTTGTCTTGATGTCTATTAATTTGGCGATCTGAGTCAATAATCTAGTCTTGTGAGCAACCATCACTCAGTCATATCATGTCATTATATTCATCTACTTACAAGGATTCTAGTCTCCATAATATAATCATAGTATGCTAGTAAGTTTTTAGGAAGGTGATTAGCTCCAAGTCTTTATTAAACACAGGGGATATTCTCCGAACCAAAAGTGATGACAGTTTGAACATATGGTGTATTGGTTCGGCGTGAAAGGTGAATTTACACAAATGTATCTAAATCCCCAAACACATTTAAAAAATGCAGACGACATTCAATTTTTCTATTATTCATTGTAAACTTATTCATGTTTTGCTCTTCAGATGAATTCACAGCAAATTATACAGTCTGGCAATATCCAGTCACTGAGAAATATGGATTAATTTATAGTAGAATGCGTGAATGGGGCTTTTCAAATAGTCATGAAGAAACGATGAAACTTATCAACGACGGTTGGGTAATATTTATGGAAACTCCAAAGGCTGATTATTACATAGCCAACGAATGTAAACTGAAACGATTCGGTAACCGTATAGGAAGTTGGTATTATAGTATGATATTAATACCGCGTTCTCCGTTAACTGCTGCTTTTAATGAAATGTAAGTTTTCCGACAAGTTACCTAAATAAGATCAGGATAAAGACAATAATCGTTTAGGTAATTGGCGATTTTATCATTCCTTTATTTGAAACCTAATCAAATTGATATCACATTGAAATTGACAACTTTTATTTTACAGAAAAAATTGACAGCTATACGACACATTTAATAAGCTGAAATACTGATGCCTGTATGATTGATTACCATATAATAAACTATGACCAAGCTAAAGAATTCATTTGCAACAAAGAACATGAAGCACAATATCATTCCTTTGCTTCCTCTTCTCTGAAAGTACTGGTGATTTTATAAAAATGAACGTATTAAGAAAACAAATGTTAAGTGAACAACACATTTATTTCTATCACTTCACACTTCGTCATAAAAGAAATCGAAACGTTTCATTCACAGAATCAAACTTCATTATTTAAGGTGATGGAAAAGAAAATGGCAGCTAGAAATATCTTGATTCTTTGACTAATTGGCATCATAGAAGGACTCTCAATGTAGTCAAGCTGTACATTAGCTTTTCAATCAGTTTAGTCCAGAAATAATAAATCATAGATAAGATATTGATATTTGGCTTCTGTTAGGTTGTTTACGCAAGCCGTACTCGTATAATCCTATCCATATTCACTTACAACTACGTTTTCCATAAAAATTACACTTTTTTTCTCGTTAATCCAGAGCCTGAGAAGAAAGTTACTGAAAACTAATATTCACTTGTTCGATATAAGGTTTGTTATCTTGTTTAAGTAGGGAATTACTAAAATTTCCTTTGTAATGTAAATATCAAAGTGTATGCTTAATACAACACATAATCCATTTGAGTTTACTAAGCTACTTGGAAATAATTACTATGAAGCTTTATAATTGCTTTAGCATGCATAATCATCTCATTGAAGTCTGACTGTATCTTGAATTTATATCATGGATTATTTGAGGCTTGAATTAATTACTACAGTTTGAAGCTAGATTTAATTAGGACGGTGCGTTTTAGTTTATAAAAAGATAAAGAATAAACGTCTGTAACCATGCAACAATTTTTAAAAAGGGTATTTCAATCGTAGTAATAATGCATTGATGGAGAAAATAAGTTTCATTTGTGACTGAATAAAATCGTAATTCAGAAATCTAATAAAGTGTTGAGACAATCCAGGCCTACAAAATAAAAGACAATTAACTTATAAGCCCTGATTGCAAAACAAAAATATTTATAAACTGACAAAAAAGAATGCCACTTCACAATAATGCTTACTGCAAAAAAATAAACTTCATTATGTCCTTAAACATAGCTTCCTTTTCACTGTAGAATTTATTCGCTAGAAGCAGATTATACATTGGACATGTTAAGGGCTAAGTGGTGGGCTAGTAATACAAGTCGCTGTGAAGCATTGTCTCTTGATGAAGGATATGATTTTGAAGAAGTTGGTGGTATGTTCTCATTACTTGGATGTGGACTTTTAATTGGCGTTGCATTGCTAATCTCAGAAATTGTTATCTTTCATATACTATTGAAGAAGCAGCAGACAAAGGTGAGAAATTTGTTGCATGTTTCTATTGACTTATTCAATGGTCGATTCATCTGTTCAGCTCTATTCAACGAAAACTCATGACTGTTACAGATTTATTCACTAATGGAATTTTCCGAGTGGGACTAGTTTAGGAAGTGATGTATTCTGGAGATCTCATAACTTAAGAGAATGCGATGAAGACGGTTAGTACTTTAAGCCGATACATTGAAGATTTGTTTGTTATTGTTTCTTTCGACACATCTCGAACCAATCATGTTGTGAGCATATTACAAATGATTCAGTACCTTGTATTTAATTTAACGATTGAAAGCTAAGGCATATCAAGAATAGTGAAATGTCCAAATCACTACTTATCACTGTTTATTTTTACATTGGTTATATATTTCAATGATATTAACCATCACCTTCATAGGTGATTGTTAGAATAAATTATGATGATATATATAGTTTATTTTTGGTCCTACCTTAACGTCTTTTTGTTCAATTAGTTTCTTGAAGGTATTAATTTCCCCTTGTAAACCGGAGACGGTTAATTTGGCCGCTAAATTAGCCGAAAACATTGCAATTATAATAAGAACTAACAGCCAGAGACCGGCTACTAAGACGCGTGTTGAAGCTGAACGAGGATCCATGTATTCACCTGTAGAAACGAAGAAAAGAAAATGGTTGTAGATAATGTTGCTTGTTAGTATCTCATTAAGGAATACTCAAATGCTTTAAGTCAATAAGGACCTGAGGATTTGAACTTAAACTCTTTGGACCGATTTGTGCTTTGTGCAGATCTGCATTATCCTATACTCTGTGTTTGTAATATCGAAATATCATACTTACCAGTCATTCAAAAATTCGATACACTATCATGACTAAAATAAATCCAAAATGAATCGTGTTTCATATATAAATTTAGATCAAACCTAATAAATTCGGCTTTTTTCTCAAATGTGGAATTTGATGTTAAAACTGTAACTTATATTGCTGAAAACCATATATTTATCATACTGATTTTCGACATTTCCGAAACTTCAACCTTCCTTCTTGATACATTTATTACCCACCAAATCTTGTATCACTGCTCTTTTTTATTCTCAAACTAATCGTCTGAGCGCTGATTGTAGTTTTCAAATGAATCTCATTGCATGATAGTTCCAGTTTTGCAGACAATGCTGACGAAGTATCGGAAGTCCATACGAATTTTTTTTTATTTTTAAGCTGTGAGAATATCAAATGATGATCGTAATATGCACAGTCTTCGAAAGCATATAATTCTGCATAAAAAGTCAAGCGATTTTCACTACACTCACTAATGATGTTTAGTTTTATTTTTTGACTTGAATGTTTTCACAACAGAGACTAAAAATCTCTTATTTTAGGTACAAAAGTGATGTCAACGCAGTTAAAATTTGCAGCGAACCAATTTTCTATTGTTTAAACTATGTTTACTGACTTAACTGCGCCCGAAAAATCTGAAACCTTGTTTTGTTATACTTCTTTTCATATTCTATAACAGGTCGCAAATGAACCTCCAAGACTACCCCAGCAATCTGTAACAAACAGTGTACCAGAAGCAATACAAGAGGAAGAAGAAAGTACAAATAATTTATCTACGAGAAATCCAGTTGCATTAAATTTAATAACAATTACTACAACCGATTATAGTGATCCTAATCAAGAAGTGAATTCCTTGAATGAATAATTGATTATAACAGCTTCCAAAAATTGATATACTTTCAGTATTAATATAATTCATTTTAGAAAACACTCAATTATTTCAGGAATACTTGATGTTCATTACAGTTGTAGAATGATTTCATTACTTTTCTCATCAATTCATAAATGTGTATTTTATTTTATATTTATTTTATTTGAACACATACATATTGGTACAAGAGGGCACCAGATACATATGCGCCACAAAATTATATGAGGGCTGTGATACTGCCCGGATGCCCAAATCGGAGCAGGTGGTTTTCTTTGGTAGCCACACCCGGAGCCTTTGACCTAAAGGTTTAATCCACAAGGCAGTGGAGTATCTTAAGGAGATGTAGTCCCTCGGTAGCCGGTGACCAATAGTTGGTTCATACGCCATTTATTCCCTCAGGATACTGGAGCTCATGTGCACCATTGGTTTGGAATCAGGGTTTTCCAACTCGCCTAGGTGGACTCTCCATGTTCACCAACCCGGTTAAAGCTCCGGACATTCGCTTTTCATCCTCACAATTTCGTAAACAACACCCCTGTCACGAGAAGGCAGTGAGTAGGACTTCTCTGGTAGAAGCTATATACGCGTGGCCATGTGAGAGCATTTCGAGAGGGTGAGTGGACTCTCCCCACTCTCGGCCGTACCAGGGCATTTGGGGGAAATGTCTATTTTAATAAAATATAATTTTCTGAACAAGGCATGAACAATAAGAACCGATGAAGAAAACGATTTCATTATGTAACAATATATTTTATCACATACAAACAATATATAATTAACTTAAAAAATAAGGTATGGTGGTAGATGTAGACTGTTATAATTCAAAGAAAATGAAACAGCTAGCCGAAAAGAATAAATCTCAAGCACGTGGAATGATAAATTGTAGTTGACATTATGGCATATTCTTGTGAGAAAACCTAGAGCTTGTAAGGGAAGAAATAGGTTACAAAAAAATGCAAATGAGCATGTTGACATACGATTCGGTTAGGATGAAATGAACTTAATGAGAAAAAGTCAGTAAATGGATAAGGAGACACGATTATATAGGGAGTGAGAAGTTATTACTGCTCACAGTAGCTAATCAATTTCTTTTCTATTATATACGTAACGTAGATCAATTTCCAAGAATAGCCTGTATAGAGCCGGGTAGTATCCAATGCTAAACAGTTACCAGAAGATCGACTTTGTTAAAAACTCCCTTCCTTATATCCAGACGTGTAATCTGATTTCGTTTTCGGAAAATGTCTAAGACTGAAAAATAAATCTCACTTGAAACTTTTCACAAGACCTTTGCAAAAATAGCTTCAACTTTCCTTCAGAAAGCAGATAATATTTTGCTGATTCTCAAACTTGTTTGAACAGACTAGTTTACTCAATCAAACATAAAAATACAAGAATTTTTATACTTCATACACAAGCCTGAAAATATAGGCTATGAGCCTCGTAATTTGTTGGGGACAACAATTTTATGATTATCTTAATCACAGCGATCAATCTATTCCATAAGAAGTTTAGCTTCACTTTATTCTAATATTTATAAGTAATTTAATGTGAAATGAATTTAAAAAGAATAAAGCACGAATTCTGTGGAGGTTAACATATCATAAGGTGATAGTATCTTCAAGACTAAAGTTTTTAAGTATGTCGACCACAAAATATTCTGGAATGTTAATGTGACATTGATTTTTAGATCCTTATGTGGCGCTTGTGTAAAATGATGATATGTTTTGTCAATTCTAATTTCAATATACAATACATCCCAATGAGTTTGTTGTGTTCTGTCTTCAATTCTATTCAGTTAAGCTCCCTATAGTTTACTCTAGCCGGTCTACCATTCACGGATGTATTAAGAATAAACTTCCGCTTTGGGCCATATCAATGTGCATCGATAAATTTACTTGCTCCTACTGGACAGGTTACACTGGCCATACAAAGCGATCACTTTCCAGACGTATCCTAGAACATTACTCGGAGTGGTTTTTAGAAGGAGAATGCAAAACAAACGCCAGTTCAATACAGGAGCACCTAATCAACTCTTCACACGTCGCTCCGAATGAGTCTTCCTCTAAAATAGTGTACACAATCAAAGTGATATGATGGGAGGAAAAATCAATATTCGATTGATTTACTTAATATGAGTTTTATTCATCATTACATTCTTTTGATTCAATGTAATGATTACGCAATGTAATATTTCTTTTCTTTTCTCGTATGATATTTATTCTGTATAATATACAATATTCTTGTATTCCATTGACTATGAACTATACTCAGCATTTGTTATAACTGTGAGTATTTTTCATGTATGTGATTTTATTCTAATTATTAATCAAAACGGGTGTACAATCAATATATAAACGAGTATATTTTCTACTAAAGGGACTTCGCTCTTTTCTCTGGTTGCTGCAGAATACACTTCTCATTTCAAGCCTGGACTTCTCCTTCTAATTAGCAGGGGCTGGGACGCGTTCATTAGCTAGCTCACTGGACCTCGATCATCGAACCTCGTTCTCGTTCGCAAACTACGTGAACCCGTGATAGCTCTCTTTTTCAAACCCTAACACAAAGGAACTGGGTTGAAGGGAGGTTGAAACACATACCTATGCACTGCTGAGGCATTAACAATCCACCAACTCAAGCCCAAACCCTGCGTGTAAAAACGATACGTCCAACTTTTCATCTTTCTTTGGCCTTAATTCAGTTCTGTAGTATGCTTTGGCGTGTTTTTTAAATTAGTGTTTTGTAATTTTAAACGGTAATCAGTTATTAAAATCCTTCAAAAACGTTTATCATTCAGTTATTATTATGACCTTTATGTTTTTCGTTTCCCTTCATATCTATCGAGTGGGCAATTATCTTTCATAATTCTAACCCATAAATTATTTCCATCCTTATATTCTTTCTGGTTTAGCTCTTTGATTATTTAAAAACCTCAGTTGATATTTATAGTCTCGAATCTCTTTGTGATGCAATCTGTTCTATCCTTCTATAGACATATATTTACTATACAACTATAAATACCAATGTACAACTTAAGTAAATGTTTCTTCGGAAAGAAAATCTTATATGCTGAGTTCTCTTTATTTTTCTTCGGTGACACAACGGATTATTTTGATATTTCCAGTAAAGCTCTCATGAAAGTATTTACTGTCAATTTCGTTTTATCTTTCTTTTCTTTCTAATTTCAGGTTCTACCCAATAGTTAAATACTAGGTATGTCTTTTATTGATGTAAAATGGCTAATTCCAGCCAACAGGTTTCGGACTGACACTACACATTCCCGCAGTCAAAGGCATTATCACTAGGCTATTCGCGCAGCCATTTAAACTCTCCCCTTGGTATTGAATGGCAGTTGTAGTGACCTACTTTTGTCAACAGAACGCGATTGGTTCGATGAAAACAATTATTATTATAACCAATTGTACCAGTGATTGTTTTATTGTGCTCGTTTGTTTAACTGTGCTAATAACAGCCATTTTAGTCTTCCATTGTATTCCATTGCTTTTACGCGGTTTTCGAGTACGCACGTATCTTATCTTGCCGATCGCACCTGTACTCCTTTGGCACGATCTCGGTATTCTTTCGATACCACGAGATCGCCAACAAATATATACGACTACTACAATCATCTGCCTTCTGATATTTTGGCCTATCGGAATTTTATTGGTCTATTGGCAAGTAGTCTGGTAGCGGTGTTCTTGGTCAAGCTCAACTCGACACCACGCTACACAGTCATTTAGAACGGTTAGAATACCTTATGGTGAAAGCCGAGATTCTTCGGAAGTCACGAGGTCGATGACCCTTCTGACAACCGGAACAACAGTCAATATAGGTACATAAAATGTCCGGACAATGTAGGAGACTGGGAAGACTAGTAAAACGGCTGCAGAAATAAGAAGTTCAACCAAGCGGTTCTCAGAATAAGTGAAACCCATCGGACC